AGATGTGCGGCTATGAGCTTTATTAGTGGTGTATTGGTATTGTTAGCCTTATACGGCGTGCTGTTACTGCAGGGTCTCAATTCTGATAATTTTACCATAACAATCGCATCTCAATAGAATCTTAACTACTTGCATGTTTCCATTGTACTATATAACTTGTTTTCTGAGAAAGACAGACCACGCTTTCTTTCTCACAAATCAATGGTGACAGATATATATATTAATATTCTACTTCAAGTAGATAGTGCAATGGTGAAATACAAGTAGTTGAGATTCCATTATTACTTTAACATTAGCAGGTCATATACCGTACAATCGCGAGCTAGATTTGTACTTTTAAGAATATATATTTAATATAAATCTTTATTTGTTTTTTTTTTTCACCTATTCTAATTTACTTTGCGCATTTCAACACCATAAGTTTTATAAGAAAAAGGTAAAGTAAACGAGAACTTAAACATTATTATATGAGTATAACCGCTGTATAGTACGTCAAACCTTTCAACATATAATTGCGAGATTCAATTGAATATACTGAGAACCGATGAATGGAAACTAGTAGCCAATTATAACACACTTAAACGAAATCATTTCCTTCAATCAAGAAAATCGTCGATCAAGAATATCTCGCTGTTTGTGGGACGATATTGATATATTCTGTTAACCGATCTTGCCTTATATTTCTTTTGATAATGCCACTTTGGCATCGAAAGTCAATCAGTTCGATGTCTAGGTAAGTTTTTTCTTGTTTGACAGAAGATCATTACAATGTGTATTACATTTGTCATTATCTGCTCAAAGATATTTATGCCTATTTATGTTCCTTAACTATTAATAAAACATTTTAAGCCATATTACATACATTCAAACTACTAATATATAATTAAGTTGGTACAACAGTGAATATATTAATGTAAACACGACATTCAACAGTGATATAAGTAGAATAAGGTACAATAGATTATATTAATAGATTTAAATGACTTATGACTATTTGATATGTAATGTATTTGGCCAGTGGTACCTTGGGTTTAGGCACCACTTACCCGATATGTTTCTTACTGGTTCCCACTTGGATTCCATCAAACATAGAATGATAATTATTAGTATGGAGTCTACAATCGTTGCTTATAAACGTAAGGAAAGCATTTATCATATTCCAAATATGTTAACAAAATTTCCGATTACATGTTTTCTGTTCTATTACAACATACTCTTCTATTGTCTTAATAATAAAAATGAAACTCTTTATTTTCAAATCAGAAACATTATTTTGTAGAAAAGATTGACAATCTTTTGTATATGTAATAAATGTAATTTTACTGATAAATAGAATATCAATTATAACAAATAACGTATAGCTATAACTACATGTTTTTTTTTAACAAATACCGTATAACTATACCTGTGGTTCTTTTGAAAGAGAAACATAATAACAGATGTTATGACGTCAATTTAAAAACTTATAAATAACATTCTTTTTTAGTTAACATATTATAAGGTCTTCTTTTATATTATCTCTGGCAAATTATTCGCAATGATTGACGCTTTCTTGCGTCTAAATCGAGACTATTTTTCATTATATTAAATTTTAACTTGCGTCAGATTACATCTAGACTTTTACAACACCATAAAGCGGTAAATATATTTTTAACATTTACTATAACACACACAATTAACATTGAAATACGTTCGAAAATACAATGATAAATAGAGACGGTATAAGACTTCCTTATCTAATCAGGTTTTTTGACTCTGATATACTAATATAAAAACAATGTTATATAGTTATATATTTGTGCAATATATGTTGTGGATGTCAGTGCATTTCTCTACTATAAGTGAAAATGTTACAACGTTAACTAGAAGTAAATTTAGTGAGATAATCATTATATATCTAATAAATGGAATATTATATAGACTATCACGAAAAACTAGTATATGTTTGTAAATAGAATACCCTAAAAGGTAATCAATCTCGCGTCTTACTAACAATATCCAAGGTTTTCGTCTATTTAATGTATTAAACAGCAATAACGTGGAAAAAACATGGGCCAAAAATTTTCGTATTCAATTTCGCTTGATTCGATTGGTCTTTCTCTATAATCTTATTATTAATGAACCATCCAATACCAGATGTTATCCTTACACGTAACAAACATTTCACATTTCAATATTTTTTATTCATATAAATTCAATCTTAAATATTAAATTCAGGCTAGTATAGGATATGTTTTGGGTTACAATATTATCACGCGTGAAAATTCTGTAATCGTTTTTAAAACAGTCATGCGACGTTGCCAAATTTATAAATAATCAATTTATAATATAATATATTCTTTAAGTATGATGTAAATATAAATTAGCTTTGAAAACCGATTGCGAATGCTTAAGTTTAATTTAGTGGAGGACGTGGTTCCGTCAAATAGAGCTTGTCCTATTTTTTTAGTAAATATTTGTTTCAAATTTATCATAAACCAGTGCATATCTTAATCGTTACTGTAATAGCCATATCTCATTGGGATGCCAATCAAAACGTATTAATATTTATTACAACGTACCTCACCCTACCTTACTTGGTGACGCCTTTAAAAAATACATGTGGGTAAATCTAGATATCTCACACGACCAGCTGCGAAAGGCCCGAATCTGAGGAGCTGAAATACCCATCGCAGGCGGTAATTCTAAGCAAGCGCCAAAATCATAAAATATAGCTAAAAAAGAAAACGTTTCTTTTTTATTGGAATAATATATTTATTAATTAAAATAAAATAAAATGTCATCCATTATTATATATTTGTATAAGTTTTGTTCGATTTATCTCAAATGCCGATCTGAGGTCACTATCAAGTTTCTGCCATGGTTAAAAATAATCATGCCTATGCCGGGCATGACCCCAGGACCGCGTAGGAGGCCATAACTTTCATCGTTCACGGTTCGATTCAGTTTAATCAAAAAAAGGGTAAAGCACAAGGGAGAATTGCACAGGCAATGGTCATTGACAGGTTTCATCTGGCTCTGATGTCAATCGTCATATAAATCGCACGTTGAGAACGATAGTGACACAATGCAAAAAATGCGATTTTGAGTAATGAGCGTTTAAAGTTCAAGAAATTGTAATCAGCCCCTCTAAACAACGTATCGTCACTACGCCACCTAGCAGTTTCTATGCAAGCTACGTTCACAGGGATCTTTGCATTTTAAAGTTTATAGGTAACAAAGAAAAATGTTGCCAAAAGTAAAAAATACGTCGTTTTTGGTTAGTGACATTGTCATTCTCAACGTGCGAAATATAATTTGGCATCTGCTTTAGCGCGTAGTTTTAACAACTAACGGATACTAAAGTAGCCATGGAAACTGCCGGCCTCCAATTCAATGGCATCCAATGAGATTAGCTGTTAGTTAAAACTTTTAATTACAAGATTAATGTTATGTGCAATATAAAAATGTTTTCATCTAAATATTTCTGATTTAATGAAAATAATTAGCTAGCAAACGATGCCTAAAGTCACATTTATTACTCTTTTACCTAACCATAATCTCTTACAGCAATACAATTCACCGAATTATCTATTAAAGAAATTTAGTAAAGCTAAAATAACATAGCTTATAAAAGCTCTTATTAATAATCCATTAATAAAATAATGTGAAGAACTAAAACCGCTCATATACAACTATATTTATCAAGAATCTACAAACGCATCAACAGCATTTAATGTATTTCGACAAGAAATTTACCTAACACTTATTTTACTACGCTTACTCTAGGTCAATTCGAACATAACATTTTTTATCATGGGCTGCATTTTGGTAACCAAGAAGTTTCATTGAAAACTTACTTTTTTTTATTGTATGTATGCATTGAAACAAAAAATAACTAGTATATTAGGAAGCACTGTTATTTGAGAATATCAGCAAAGAAGGTTCTTAGCTAAATTGCTAAATCTGCAATGATTATGAGACGAGTATAATATTCTTACAACTGTTAACAGCTTAAAGATAATGAAGGTGGATACAAGTACGTAATACATAAATACAGCTTAAAAACTCCAATATCCTTACAAGTAGAGATAATATTATAATAGTCAACATCGTAAATGCATAAAAGCTTATAATTACAATCGTAAAGGCAGGGGTAAACTATAAAAAAATATAGGAAAATTTAACATCAAGAATAAAAGGAAAATTCGGTGCTGTAGTTCTTTTTGAAATTTCATTTTCTGAAGACACATAGTTATTCACGTGGAATCGTGATATAAAGCTGGTAAAGTTTGTGTTATTATTGTAAAATGATATCGTAAATGCAATTTCAAGAGAGTGAAATCTAACTTCTGTCATTCTACACATCGATATCAACATATATTTTACCTACTGTAAAATACACAATTACCATGGGCTTTGTGTTAAAACATTATACTTTTTATTCTAAAATTTACCCATCTAATAAAATTAACATTGATCGTTTTACGCATTCGGTATTATTAAAATGTTTTTTTACGTTTCCTCTTATAGTTGTCTGAACACAGTCTAGAGCTCAATCCAATTCTACGTCAACAAATATGTTTAAATTTTAAGCTTGTCATTGAGAAGCTTAATAACTTTTAGACATTCCCGTATTTTTAAAATCAGAACGATTGATGTAAAGAACTCGTTTTCACCTACTTTTAAGTATATTACTCTAAAGTAAGGCATTTAATAAATGGTTTTACTAACGTGTAAAAATACCATACCGCACTAACTAACCAACCTCTTAACATCCATCTCCTTATCAAGCTACCGCTCCATAAAATCTATTATGTTCATTTTTATTCAGCCCAAATTTGATATGTATCGTATTTTTATTGCACAAATTCATCACGTCACGTAATTATTTCAACGAAAAAGTATGTTATAACGAAGACGTTCGATCGCGGTATCCGGCCACAGCTACCGCGACTGTTGGTCTTCGCGTCAAAGTAAAATAGGAGTTAAATAATATACCAGTAGGTCGATTATCGTGTTTAGAGTATTCTGATGACGATTACCACTAGAGCGTTGGCGGCAACACTGATCGATTGACAGGTGGTGGGGCCGCTAGATGTCCTGCCGTAAGCTGGTTTCCTTTTGCAGTTCATCTTCTCGAGAGGCATCTTGGCGACGCTGTATTCCCTGTGCTCGTTCACCATTGTGCACACCGTACGTTTCTTCTGCATCATTTCATCGTCCCGGTCCCGGAGACCAGCCAGCCAGGCCTCATACCAGGCCAGTTCGCAGTCACATATGAGGGGATTATCTAAACAGAAATAAATTGATGTAACACATAAGTTAATAATTTTTATGAAGTGACATTTATTTGACAAAGAATCATTGTTACATAAGCTGTTTAAAATATTTACTTGAAGTACTTAATTTATATGAAAAATTCATCGGGATAAGATATTTAAATAGTACGTCTATGTCAAGATTTTAGTAAATATGGTTAGTTCTGTTTGAGCTACTGAGTGTTTTCGCTCGTTCTTTTTGTCAGATAAAAGAACTCCTGAGTGAGTGGTATGTAAAAACAGTTTTAACGATTCATAAGTATATTCGATTCATATATGTTTCGTAAGTTTGCACAGGTCCAAGCTAGCTTAAATGATAGTAGATTCATTTGAAACTAGGCTCACTTCAAAAGTATATTTAGGGTGCACTTCATTTGTTATAGCAACTTTTATACAATTTCATATCAATAACATTATTAATATGTAATGGACATATGTAATAACGACTATTATCATAATTTCGTTTAAAATAACACTTCTTTTAAATAACATTAATTTTGTATATTAATAAGCATTAAATTCAAAACGTCTAAATACAATTCATATAACATTTAATTTGTATAATGTTCATCTTAATTTTTGTTAATATAACCATCATTCTAAATATTAATCAAATAATTTAATGATTTTTCTCATAAAGTTCAATTATTATTACTCACAATTAATATTAATATAACAAATAATTGATATAACTTTCGTTTAATATATCGGTTGATTAATATAATGGTTATTTTATGTATATTTTTATCATGACTAAAATGGTAAGAAAAGATATTCCACCATATAAAATAATATAATAATTTTCCACTTTTTTAGATATATCGAACTCGATCTGATTAGGTTCAAAATCTTTGTAACAAAGCCGATTAAGTTAATTTAAACTCTACTTTTTTTGTTAACAACAGAAACTCATCATTCGATTAGGTTAGGTCAAAACTAAAAGCGAACCGAGCGAGCGTAGCGAGCATGCCGCGGTAGCGGCCGGCTAGCGACATTTATGAGTTATTCCTTAGGAGGAAAAGAAGTAAAACTAGTAAACAAGTTGGGTTAAAAAATATTATAAAATATTTGATGTTTATATGAGGTGACTACTATACGCATTGAATATAATAGCATATCATTGACATATAAATTGATTTTTATTCTAAATGTCATAATATAATGTGGGTTTAGATTAAATGAGTGTAATATGATTAAAAGATTATTCCACCTAAGTTTAATGTAAAATAATGTTTATATTAAAGAAAATTATATTAAAAGAAGTATTAATTAAAAGGGTACTTCTTTTAAAATTATTTGTTTAAAATTTATTTTCCCGTTTATTTTATGAAATAATCGATACATTAATCAAAATTATTTTATTTGAAGGAATAGGTTGAATTTTATATATTTTATTGTTATGCCATAATATTACACACCCGTATATTTATGGTGAAAGAAGAAAACCCGTTTCTGGGTTTTCCTTATAAGATATGATGCATACTTATATTTTCCGGTACACATGTTTACTCAAATACTTTTTACTTTGGACTTTTTATATTACGTTCATACTTTTAAAATATTTTATTCATTTTCAATAAAAATTATTCTTGCAGGAAGTATTTTTACGAATTGACATTCATAAAATGCATATCGTGTTTTAAAAATTTCAAATTACGTAAAGCGACTAATAAAAAATATACGATCTTAAAGATTAGACACAAACAGTTTGGATGCAGGAACCAAGTTTATTAAAATGACTATGGATACAGCTTTTGGTACCTAGAAATAAAACTTTCTTGACAAAAGTCAATGGTATGAAATCACTATTGATACTGACCCATAATATCAACCACTCGGAGTGTATCCAGTATTGGTTCCATGATTTCCTCTGGAATATGTTGAAGTTTGTTATTCTGTAGATTGAGGGTCTCCAGCGAGTTCAGATTATCAAAACCCATTGTCGGTAACTGATGAATCCTAATAACAGATAAAACATATGTAAAAAAAAAGATGACAATTTTAAGTTATGAAATAAATAAATAAAAAATATATATTAAAATTAGATTAAACGTAGGTATATTGTATTACCTTATTAGTTTGCTTTGCCGCTATTTTTCAACGAATGTAAAATTATTAAAAAAATTGTAATACAGTTTTTGGTGTTATAAACAAAAGATGACCTATACAAAACTTTATTTTCAAAGTAACACAACAGAGTTCTATTTCATCTTCAACTTATATATATTTACAACTTCAAATATACGGTATACAAAATGGACAAAAGTTTATTATTCGAGTATCGTGAGGGTAAAAAACAATTTCAGTAAATAATTGTACTTACATATTTTTTTGTAAATTGAGGAACGTAATGGAATCTCCGTAACCGGTGAAAGCGTCTTCGCTAATGTACGTAATATTGTTTGATCGCAGATCCAGATGCCGGAGGCGGTGTAGGGGACGCAACGCCTCTGAGGGGATCTCGTGCAAACGATTGTCACCCAGTCGAAGGTATTGTAGGTTTTCTAATAAAGAACATTGAAATGTTAAGTGAATAAATTGTTCACAATTGAAATACAACCGCTTAAAATCAACTATGAAACTTCTTTTATTAAAACACTAAGTTTTGTATTGAAAAAGGAATAATGGCTATTTCTGGATGTGGCTGTTCATTTAACATAATTTAGATTATAAATGTAAAATATATTTGTTCTTGAATTATTTTAAGTTCCTACTTCTTTCCAGTTCACTAAAAGTGTTCGAGAATTCTACAATTTACTCACATTAACAACTAACACAAACTTATGACAAAATTTGTAACGTATAATTTATTAAAAAAACTATGTTTGAATTTGCTTTTCTTAAACAAATTAATTTAAAAATCACTGAATTTGTTTTGGGAATAATACTTAGGATGCAGGCATTTTCAGACAGACATTTTTAAATTTTAAAAACTAATTTAAAAACCCTAGACGTATACCTATACCTATACTACAAAATCCTAAACCTATACGTATATAGACAATTTACAATACCTTCAAGTCCTGAAAATGCTTTCTCGTCTACCCTCTGGATGACGTTGCCCTCGAGTTCCAACGAATTAAGAAACGTGAGGTGCGAGAATACTTGCGCTGGTACCTCTCGCAGCTGATTATGGGCTAAGCCCAAAGAGTCCAGGTTACGTAAACCTACAACAAAACAGTACATTATTTGACTTAATGTACCGTCTCATTATGTTTAGTATATTATCTGTGTAAAAGTGCAGAACTCACTCTTGACCTTTTTTCTAATATATTGTTTATGGGTCTGACTTTTGAACCACCATGAAAAGAATTTAAACATTATCTTAAAAGCTTGTGTGAATCGTTTTTTTTGCACAGATTACAGTTTAGTTACTTTAATTATATTTAAGTTTGATTAAACAATTCGTAATTTATAATAGCGTGTTTTCTGTTTCTGTGCCATAATCAGACTCGCGTTATACAACTACTAATTTTAACCAACACATAGGTATTAGTGAACCCACCTGACATGTGCTATAGAGCACATACGGAATTTAAAAATATATGAATACTAATATTATTGCGCAACCTGCCTTGAGCAGTTATGCATTTCCTAGCGTCAAAAAAAAATTGAAATTATAGTCTTTCCCAATTTTATTTGGTGAATATTTAGAAAGAGCATATCGCGTTACTCAAAATTTTAAATTACGAAAAATGAATAATAAATAAGAAATTATTTTTAAGAATAAAGAGAAAAAGTTTGGATGCGGATACCTAGGTCAAAATAAACGGTATGGTACGTTTCACCGCTTCGATCAACAGCTGTATTGTTGATCGAAGATCCACCGCTATACTTGTAATAAATATTTATTTTTGTGTTAATACACGATTTGAGGTTATTTAACGTAAGGGACGAAGCTACTTTCTTAGAATAAAACTTATTTTTATTAAATAAACTAGTGATAACGATCAATTGTCTCTCTTTTATTATTGTTAAAGATCATTTACAATTATGAAAAAGACAGAATTAAAATATTATACCTACTTATTAAATACATTATAGCAAATATTTTTTTGGGTAATTTAGATCACTCCGCTGCCACTAGTTATGTATAATTTAATTGCTAAGAAAGTATTCACTTAAATGTTCATCCGAACAATTTTAAGATACTAATTGTGTCCCAAAAACATGAGTAGTAAATTATGAAAGTGAATGCAAGCTTTTAGGCTTTTACTCGAAGCTTTTAGCGTTTAAATTCCCTTCGTTAATTTTACCTTGATTGTGTTTTATTACATTGATATTGGGTTTATAATTTATAGTACCTGGAAGACTGAGCTTTGATCTGTATTTTTTTTAATTAAGCCTAGATTTATTTATCGTCCCGATATCCCTCGCATACGAAATTCCGAGATAGATAAATAAGATTTAAAAATATTTATTTTTTATCTATGTAAACTATTGTTTAGAGCTGATAAGTATACTTGCAAACATTTTATTTTCCGCCAAAGGTTGGTGAACTTAGAAATTTTAGACGAGCGAAAAGAACTATCAATATGTTTATTTATATATAATAATAATATAAAGTATAAAAAAGTTATATTTAAGTTTTTAACATTACGCAAACGAATCGTGGCTCAAAAATCTGTATTGATATTAACAAATAAAGATTGCACACATGCTCGGTCTGTGATTATGTAGGGTTATCCATTATAGCAAATCTCATTTATCAAGTTAGTCGACTTTAGTCATTGACACTAAACACCCTGAACTGGCATGTCTAATTGGTTTCATTAAAGCCCATTATATCTTACCTGCAAAATCACCTTCTGATATGGTGGCAATCCTATTTTCCTGCATTTCCAATTTCTTCAAGTTCTCAAGCAGTGCTAGAGCCTTCTGAGGCACCGCTGTTAAATCATTACCACCCAAGTTGAGGCGTTTCAGTTTCCTATGAAAAACGAATTTGTCTTGCAATTTTTATCTCTAGACTTTGAGAATGTAACATAAACATACAAGATATATATTGAATCTTTATTATGTAATTAGTAACACCATATAGATATAAGAAACTCATTAAATATAAGGTACATGGTAGCAATTCTTTAGCAATCATACAGCTAACCAGACCCGAAGCAAAATAAAAAGTCCATAAAATTTATTTAATTTTAATGAGTAGACGCATTTATACATACTCAACGAACGAAAACAAGAAAATTTGGATACTCTAACTGATTCTCGAATTCTACAACTATCAATAAATAACTATAGCAAAACAGTAATTTTAGTGAACACTCCCATGATTCGTTCGTAGTAGGTACGACAATCATTTCCGTCGTGCCAGTACGTACTTATACAAAGTCCCTCCCATTTCGGCTGCCATTTAATTTGTCGACTACCAATAACTTCAGATCTGGGGAGCGGCATGTCTATTACGGAACTGTAGACCAACATTTTTTGGGCTGAAAAGATCTGTAATATATTTAGTTGGTGTATTTCACTTTTAACAGTACTAAGAGCAGTAATCGTGGGCGCTCGTTTGCATGATAATCTCTGTTGGAACGACTTTAGAAACTCAGTAACACTTTAGATTTTATAAACATAAAGAATAACTACGCAAGAAAATTAAGAAAGCATAGAAGATCATGATGAGTCTTCACCTCTAAAATTCAATGAAATTCGATTACGAGAAGAAATTCAATATCGTCTCTTATATAATATATTTTTTTTATTATTTTTGTCTTTGAGTTTTATAAATCTCCATATTTTAAGTATTGTTTATTTTACATTATCATTATATTATTTAGTTTCCAATTAAATAATTTCTATTAATGATTTGACTCTTGCTTCTTTCTAATGTGGTACTTATAAGTAATACACAAGTTTTGACTACCAATGATGAATGCAAAAAAAAAATCTAAGGCTACCTTAGATCTCTTCTAAATGCTACTTTATGTTTAAATATACATTAACTGCGTATTGAAATTTGTAAAAAAAATATTTTTCTTAGCAAAAGCGAATATTTCAAATGAATTTACTTCTCGAGTCCTTTGAATGCCTCCCCGTCGACAACAGATATCCGGTTCTCGTATAAAGTCAGTATCTCCAATGTGTCCAAGCCCATGAAAGCCCGATTGTGCACTGCCGTCACCTTTGAAAGAAATGTTTTTCATTATTTATATTATATTTTAATGCTTTCACTAATGTGACTATTAAAGCAAGAATTTGTTATACTATAACTGGATTTTGTTTATTTATTGTGAACAGTTGTTTCTGCACAGACCTCAATCTATATTTCTGTTATATAGTTATATTGAACAGTTTCTTAGTTACTTTCATAACTACTTTAATTTTAATATATTAATTCGTGGCACATGAAAAAGGTTCATTCACTCAAGTTATACCATATACATCACAGAAGTCAAAGACGTCCCTTTACTACATATTCGTATAACGATAAAGTTATTTTAATTATAATTAATTCTTTTAATCGTTTATAAACACGGCATAATGTAAAATTACTATTATAAAAAAAGAAAGAAAGAAAGAAGAAATCAAAATTAAAAATAATTTTATATATGTATTCCGGAGGTATTATTGAGTGTTCATTCACTGTAAATGTGGATAAATTTTTACTGAACATTTAGTAACAAGATACTTCCGCAAAATGCTCGCATCAGAATTATAATTAAAAGAATATATTATAATTATTATGCAAATTAAAACCGTAGTAGCGAGACTATAATTATTTACCCGAACGAACCTTTTTTTAATTATATCCATTAAAAAGAGCATTCAAATAATTAGAGAGTGTACCCTGTAGGCCGAAGAAGTGATATCACATATTTTATATGGAAAGAAATAAATATCATAAAGTAAATGCAAGAACTAATATATAACATAATACGTTAATGTATCAGGAAATGAACATTCAATACAATCTTAGAAATTACTACTAGAATTATGACGTCACAAGTTAGTAAACCGTTAGTATTGCGCGAGAAGGAAAAAGACAAGAATAAAGTACAGAATAGCAAACTCACAAAATAAGTTTTTGTAATAACGAGTATTCCATCTACTCTAGTTTGTTATTATGTAAAAAAATGTTTATATTCATTAATTAAGAACTATTAACCAACGTTATTTATGTAAATTACTGTATTTTTCGTTACCTTATTATGGTTCATATTCAATATAAGTAGATGATTGAGATGTGTGAATGAGGACGTGGGGATGGTAGCCAAACTGTTCTGTGACACGTCCAGTTGAGTGAGCTTGTTTCCTGTTAAAAGAAAAGAAGGATAACGCTACCTACAACATGGTAACTTACAGTAGAGACAACTAAGGCCTTAGAACATGATGATAATAATCTGACGATAAATAAGAAGGGTTAAAAATACACGCGATTTGTGGTTCCAAAACAAAGCGTTATGCCTCGGCCTTAGTTAATTTTCTATAGGTATATATTTAAGTAAAGATACCCTTATTTAGAAGTACAATAACTGGAAGTAATCAAAATCTGTCTTAACTAAAAGGTTGAATAATCAAAAGCCCTTCGCTATCTTTGCCATCGTCATGTTCAAGTGTCTCAAACGCCGGCTTCATTGTGAAGTAATTTCACTACCGGTATCCACTTGAGTTCGGATTTAGATTACTTATGTATAATAGTATTATTATAAATTATTATTATAGCTTTAACCGTCACTGACGCAACAATTCTAAGTTCGTTTTTGATTAGTTTTTTGTGCATTGAAAATCTGTTAAGAAGTATATTTTCCAAATGATAATGGATCCAATTTTAGTTTTTAGTAAATAAAGTTTAAAAGACTAAGCAGTTTTTAGTTGCCTTATTTGCTGATCAATGTCGACTGCATGATAACTTTCAACTTATTTATTTTGTGATTTTTTATGTACAGATAATTTCCCTTTCTGTACTTCTTTGAATGCGTACCTCATCTCTAAAAATATCAAGTAAATATAAATATGTACTCATTTGACTAAATTTTATGTTTCACAATAGTGAAATAAACAACGATATAATATTATTATCAATAATAATTATAACTATCATCGTCTAACTAGGCATTAAGTTACTATTATATCGAAGAACTATCAACGTGACGTTTCATAGTTACAGTAACAGATTAATACATTGTTAATTAATCCAGTTTGCGTATTATGTACATTGCGGATTAATTATTTATGACATCCTGATGTAACTAGATAATGGTGCAATAACTATCAATGTCAATCAGATTAATAAATATAGATAAGAGAAAATTAATTTATTTTAAATTCACAATAATAATTAATTGGTAATACAATAGTAATTGGTCTTATTGAGGCTTTGATAATTTCAATAAAAATAGCAGCTTTGTATGGAATCTCTTGTGTACGAATTTGAAGCTCTACTACGATAACAGGATCCATGACACAATATAGAATTACCTTAGACCTTATTCTTGAGTTATTATAACCATAAAAGTAAATGATCACAGTCAAAACATTCTATATTATGAGTGAAGGCTTAAATGTATACTTATCATTTTTATTATAAGTTACCCCATAATTCTCTTAAATAATTCAAGAGCTACTACATTTTAACTCTAAAGGGACCACTAAAAGAACATATTATTGGCATTATACAAGTAATCCTAAATCAAAATTTGTTTTTTATTAAGTAAAATAGTAAAAGTGAGCTTAAAATCCTTAAAAACTTATATTACATTTATGTCAAGCATCAATCAACACCTCAAACAATCAATCTGATATCAACATAACCAAAGAAAAATGGATTGAACTTTAGAACAATAACAATTTCCTTACCAATTGAACTTAGCGAAGAATCTTCAATAACAGCGAGACTGCTGTTATGTACCGTCAGATGACGAATATCGAGTCCTAAGAATATGTACGAAGGTAGCTTTGCCAGGTTGTTATGTCTCAACTTCAAGTAAAATATAATCATGGGCTTGGAACGGAGGGTGTTCATCGCCTGTAAACAAAAAAAAAACAGTTGTATAAAAAAAGACCTTTGAAAATGCCAATTTGCCGTTGTGATCATTTTAAATTATAATATATTTTTGTAAGCGATATTAAATAAATTTCTACCAGAAAAATGGATTCCGTGGTTGTTCAAAATCTTCGGTAATTTCTACTACTTCTACTTGGGCAAACATTACTAGCTTAATTTCTGGTTTGTTTTAACATTATTCTATAGTCATTAGTTATCAAAGAAATTTAGTTAAATCTGCTATCTTAGTTATTTTCACAGTTGAAAACACAGTTTGACAAGAGTAAACCTAAATATAGTCTAATCTGAGCAACATAATTGCTACAATTGACGACTTGGAAGCTCATTATAAGCTATGACTGAATTAGGAACTGTTTCGCAACTCCAATTCTTCCATCCTAAAAAAACGGTATCCTTCGTTTAAGCTTGTTGCTACCTAGTCTACTGCGTGTTGTTATTCGTTTTGTTTTATACGAAATAGGCATCGGAATTAGCCTAAATAAACGACTGAATCATTATTAGCTTAAGTCGAATGCTAATTTAGATGTCTGTGAAAACATTTGTACATTTATATAAAAACACAATGTAAATGTAGTTTAAATACAACAACGTTGTTTTCAATACAACAACGTTGTTTTCAATACAACAAGAGTAAGCTAAATGCTTACTAATGTTTGCAACTTACTGTTCCTAAATCAATATGATACACTCAAATAATCCCATTTTCACTAACATTATTCCATTATATTTATTAACTTTGTTATACAAATCCTACATGATTCAACATGTGGGATTTATACAGTAAGACCAGTACATTTGATGTACATTTATGGGCCAATTGTTTTGGAAGGTGTTATCTTCTGAATATTACATCAGATCATTAATATAAATTAATAGATTTTATTTATTATAGATCACATACGAAATATTATTAATTTAACACTTATAACTATCGCTCAAAGTTTACCATCCTTAACTAAAATCGAATCCAAAATTGTTCAAAGTCAATTAAAATTTTTCTAACAAGAAAGAGATTCAACAATCATTTCAATCATCCATTTCTATCTGGGAACAGGGGTTCTATCCTCACCTCACCCTCACTTTTCTTCTTTCACCATTCTTCGACCCCTGTTTCCACTTTCTCATCACCCTCTATCCCCTTTTCTTTCTCTCTACCCCTTAGGAGGGGGCCAGATTGGACCAACGAGATGCTCCCGGGTGAATTCCCACCCCCTCCGCTCATCCTCACCTCATCATCAGCGCCTCTCCCATTTTTAAGGGGAGCTGGTACAATCCCCCCTCATCAGGGGGATTTAAAGCAAACTCATCAAGGTTCATCTAACTAAATACAATTGGAATTTTATAAAAAAAAAAAAAACAAGAAAGAGATTTTCCAAAATTATGTAGTATATTTTACGAAATACTTCGTCTATCTATTTTAAGAAACTTTCTCGCCAATGTTTTCACGTTAAAATTCATGCTATTTACATTTTATATGAGTATCACTCATGCACGAAAACATTTAGGTCATATGGTAACGAGACTAGTTCCTATGAGAGATACTATTACTCGGTAATTTTAGCTAATAAATATGCTAATCCGACCTACTCAGCTAGAATAGCATTTCTCGCTCTACTATTTTTTTTTAATTTCGTGTCTGTGACCACTAAGCCTACAGAAAAGTTTATTCTTATGTGATAAACTCAACAACAAAGATTCACTCATAGAAATAAATTTCATTACTGTTTACACTCACTTCTGTTTCCAAAATAGAACATTTTGTTTTTCGAAATTCGAAGGCGATTCGAAAAACATCCGGAGAAACATTTCATTTTATTAAAAAATATTTTTTTAATGCTGTAATAGTAATTTTGTTTCACATATTTATAAGTTTTTGTTAATGATTTGATTTAGTTTTCAATATCCTTTATTTTATTTTAAGTATTATAAAAATAACTTTTTAATATTTTAAACACATCAAAGTTTTTAAAAACTTTTAAAAACTGAAACTAAATTCAATTCAATACAATACATCAATAATATAACGTTTTTTTTATCGAAAATATATACGTTATTTGGGCAAAATACACTAACACTTACTAATAACGTTATTGTGTTAATCGATATTTATAATGATAGGAAAAACACACTAACGCAATCTAAAAGCGCGATTTTTGATTATTTTTAAAATTGCGTGAGTGTGTTTACTTTAACAGTGTCTAAGTGTAATTTACTGAGTGTTCCAGTATCATCGTCATCACCTTTTGTATATGCTGCTGCTCAGTAAACTCGCATAGGATATCGAGGCCGTTCTTCTTGACGGTACAACTACAGGGGGTCATCGTGTTCGGCGGGGGACACTGCTGCGCGCCCTGTTGATACGCCGGCCGCGCGTACAGCACCACGCAGCCAACCAGCAGCCAACGCGGCAACATCCTCAGGTTGTCTGAACAAATAGTAGGAATATGTTGTTTTCAGGATTACTAACGGGATTGCTACCATGTTTTCATTGAGTTTTCGATATTTCGACGCTATTGCATGCTTCATCATCACTTTATAGAGAACTCAATAGAATAAGGCACGTAGTTATTTTTATTGCCAATAACAATAACAACAAAAAATAAATAGTTTCTATTAAGGATATTATTTTTTCCTTATTTACCTCTTAGATTACAAATATTTCACAGAACGGACCTCCGACTCAAATAAGAATTTTATTTAACCAAGCCAAGAACTTGTTTCTCTTAATTTAAGTTCAATTTTGCTAGTCGTGTTTTTTGATTAATTTATTTTTATTCAATTCCCTCTAAAGAGTAGATATTTATGTATACCAAACACATTTTTTTATGAAATCTTCGACAGCAATAATTTCAAGAAAACCGCAATGCCTACATTCCTTTTTAGGCTTCTGACTTTTTAAGCTTAATGATGTTGTACCTTCGCTATACACAATAAACTCAAAACATAATACACACATTATATTGGAGTCTTGCAATTTTTTTCTTTTTTTCATATTCAAATATTAAGATCCAATGAGAAATCTTAACCTTAGAAACATTATCTGTGGCGGTTGTATATGTCATTCCTATCAATCGACCTCTTTGTGTTAAAATATTATTAAATGGGAAATATAATATAATTTTCCATATAATAAATTCAATATTAAAAATTATTTATTCGAACTCTATTTCTTATATTAAGAAGTCAATTAATTTTCGATTAAGAAGTCAACATAAAAATATAATTACACTTCAAACCACTTCAAACGGATTCACAGAATCTTACTATTGACAAGACCGATTTCTAATCGGTTGGTTGAATTGGAACTCGAAACATGTTGTGGGTTTTCATAATTAACATCTGTAAATTATTCACGCTCTGAATTTCGAATCACATAATACAATTAATGTTGCTATGTGGTTTGTGTATTTGTCACAAACGAGTGACGCATGTTTTTGGAAGAACTAGAGGTACAACACAAATTTCAGTATTGAATGTTTTATAGACAAATATAATTAACAATCTTTGTCGTCTTTTCTCGAGCTGCCGGTTACAAGGTGTCGCCATCTCTGAGGTCCCGGGTTCGATTCCCGGTCGGGACAATGTAAAAAATTTTATACTTTTCTATATTGTCTCAGGTCTTGGGCATTGTGGTACTTGTGTTGTCCATAATATAGGACAGATACTCCATAATACAGGGGCTTTAGCTACTCAACTTGGAATCTGAGGAATGTATGTGATTGTATTATTTATTTATCGATAGTGATAAAAACTTGTCTCGGTCTGATTATAAGAGATTTTATTCGTGATTAATATTATTAATAAATTATTGTAAAATAAGTTCAGAATTATGTCATGCAAATTTGATGAAGGTCTTCGAAGTCTGTAAAACTTCTTTGATCAAACCAAAGTTTCCACAATAAGTGAGTTTCTATATAGAAAGTGGCACTCGATAGAATAGCGAACTTTTTTAATCCAAAACTCCAAAATCTAAATTGAATGTAAACTACTTTGCTAACAATTTAATTTTTTAACACAATTTACGCATTTGAAACACAATTTTATAACTTTTCGGAATACAGTTTTTAAAATCAAGTCTAGAAAAATAAACGAATTAATTAAATATCTTCTAAATTGATTCAAAGAAATCTTTCAAAACTTTAATGTAAAGTATGAAGATATATATTCCCACAAAAGTAGGTAGGACTCTATAAGGTCATACTACACACACATTGGATTGATTTGGTATAACAGTGTCGATATCATAAAAAAAGGAAGTTCAATTTTCATTTAAAAAGTGACTTATAAAAGAAGCTTTCCGCAAGCGACTTCGTCCTCGTGGCTTATACGATTACTTGGCAGTATATTTATACCTACGGAACCGTTTATAACTGACAATTATTTTATCCACAAAGCAGCCTATATATTTGTACAGGCCTGGAATTGTCCATATACCAAATTTCATGAAAATCCGTTCAGTAGTTTTTGCGTGAAGTAATATCAAACATATGTACATCTATTCAAACATACTTTTTCATTTATTAGTAGAATAACCACCTTCACTTGAATATGACATTTACGTCATTTAATTTACATTTAGTGTGCTAAGACATACCTAATTATTTTTTATTGGGTGCTTCCCTGAAACTTGACTAAATGGTAATGAAAGTTACAAATAGGTACGTCATAATATCTGCGCTAGAACTAAGATTATTTACCAACATTAATGCCTACAGTAAATAAAGAGACGAATGAATATTTAGAGAATAATTAAGTCTTGGCTTTTTTCCAATGCCTATTAACATAAGCACTACTGGGACTTTGGCAAAAAGGTTAACTTAAAAGCTATTTAGGTACCCTTTTCAGTACCCTTCAAATTAGTTTCACGGCAAATGTTGAACAGTAGATCTGGTTAATGTTTAAGGTAATAGTTTTTTTTTTTCATTTATTATTGTATCCACAAAAAAGTTTACATTTTTAATTCTTACAACATTGTAATAAATCACTAAGGTTCGTCTACATACAGATAAAGTCAAATTTAAATTTTACTTATTCAAGTTTTATGCTGCCACGACACACCTCTCACGGTCAAGTCAATCGCGTGCTCTTAGAAGGTAATGTCAAAAACCATAAATGTATGTGTAAATGTGTATGAAAAGGTATAATGAAATTGGATGAGGCAAAAGACTCATGTAAGTACCGTACATTGTGGCGCTCGGTCCCCTCTGTCTCCGCTGCTAGGAATACTACGTATAGATATATAGGGTGTGTAAAAAACAATGATTAAAGCTGATTTACTGATGTGAATCAGCTTTCTTCATTGCTAATGCGTGCCCTGCACATAACGTGAAAAACAGACACGTCACACGGCAAAGTATGAGACACCTTTTTAGTATTTTGTCCCAAAAAGGTAAAACGGAAAACCTCATATTAAGACTCCGCTGTCCGTCCGTCTGTCTATCTGTCCGTCTATCACCAAACTGTGTGATACAACAAATGTGTTTTTTTTTCCTCTTTTTAAAGATCGTTTTCCTTAAAAACAGGAACCCATCATGCATGGGTCTGACACACACTTGGCCAGTTTTTATAAATAATGAGCTAACTCTTGATCTCATACTAGATCAGTAAAAACTTTTTCTCCTGAATAGAAAGATGGTTGCTAGGCTGTAGTATAAAGTATTGACTTTTCAGGAGAACAAAATGAATTTTTAAAAGTATAGATCTATGGTATTTGCCCTCGCGCTTCAAGCGTGCTTACAGCCCTCCAACGATAAGTCAACCAGGCGTCAGCGAATGAAACATTGTTATACTGTCGCCAACAGCAACTCATGGTGTGGCGATTAATGGTAAGCGGTGTTGGCAACTATCGGTTATCAAATTCAAAACAATGCTATGCTGCTGCTGAACTATTTAAGTATACTGTAACCATTTGCATAAAGCAACCATATTTCTTTCCTAATCTAATATATTAGTTCTATAGGAAAAAATCACAATTGCAAGCGTATACCGTGACAGCAAAATAAATCAAATTTGACATACGTTACAGCTACGCAAATATGCAAAAGCTCAGCGGTATATTTGCTAAGGAATAACAAAATCTGATTTTCAGTTTTCCTACAGGAAAAGGTACGAGTAAGCATTTGAACTATGATGTAACGTATCGGTATCAGAATCATTGTTAGAAAACATTAAGTGTCTGCAAATATTTTTTTGTAATTAATTCTTTATTTACAAATCATTATTACAAAACAAGATTACAACAACTTTAGTGATTAGGAACTACTTGGATATACCAGAAAACGAGCTCAGACTTGAAAGCGGACGATTTCAATTTATAACCAACGATTTAGTACACCGACGCATTCGCTTGCGAAAGTGAAACTATAGCGAATGCGAAACATCTGCGGCTGTATGACGATGTTTTTCGCATTTTCTTGTGAAACAGTACTAACAAGGACTGTGACGAGTCAATAATAAAGCGAGGTGTAAAAGCACATGTGAAACATTGCCATACAACTGACAGTTTTTTGTGGTTTCGCTTTCGCAATCGATTGCGTCGGTATACTAATGGCGTGAAAACTCAAGAGCTGTAGAGGTTCAATGCTTAAAAATTTCAAAGTGTGAATCAATTTTCGTAATGAGAATTTCATGTAACAATCGAACTATTTCCACAACTATCTCAAAAATCAGGTAAGAGTTTACGAGTAAAGTCCGTTGAGGTTAAAATGTGAAAAACTATATGTCGTTCAACATTTACAGCCATGGAAATATAAATAAGAAGAATTGAAATAAAATGCAACACAAAAAGAAACAGTATGACCAATATAGCTCGTTTGTTCATAAGTTTTGAGACGACATCTACCTTTCCCTTAGACGATTTGGCCAGTCATAAATGGCGGCACGAATCTTATCTAGCGGAGTTCGCTTTGCTTCTCGAACAAGGGTTCGCTTCAGTGACTCTAAGTTTGGGTGGGACTTTAGGCAGGCCCTGAGCTCTAATTAAGTACATAAATAATAATCCAGCGGGTTGAAGTCGGGGCTGGACGACGGCCTCTCGTCCGCCGCGATGAAGGCCGGTACATTCTCTCTCAACCAAGATTGGGTGCTTTTTGCCTTATGGGATGGCGCCGAGTTATGCTGAAAAACTCAATCCTTAATGTGAAATAACGTAACAAACAGGGGTTTTACGAAGGGCTCTAAAATGTCACTCTGATAATTCTTGGCTTTCACTTTGACACCTTGTTGGTAGATGTGAAGCGGAGTGACACAAACGAAACTCCCCACAATACCATCACCCTAGCCGGATGATGAGTGCGCGAGACATTCCGTACAGAAGCTGGGACATCCTTGCTACTTTTAGCTTACAGTTTATTGTTTTGTCAGTTAAACTTTTCTTCGACAGAAAAAAATTCTTATCGGTGAAAAGTAATCTTCCTAGCATCATCATCAGCAAGCAATGGACAACGTTCGTGACGTAAATTACGAAGACGATCGTTTCAAAAGTGGACTTTTCTTAGACTATAGGCCTTTACCATAAAATCATATTTCAGTATTCTGTTCACTGAAACGCGCAAAATATTATTCTGCATAGCGAGTTTCTTCTGAGTGCAACATGGATTTCGGCGAAGTCGCTCTCGGATGATTTTGATGTTCGCAGGCCTCCTCGCAGAGCGTGGCCGACCACTCCTTTGGCGATCTGACAGAGAACTTGTCTCTTTGTAGGTACCGCTGTATTGTGTAATAGACGAAGTTACGGCTTACAGGAAAACTTTTCAGCTCGCGGAAAATCTGCATCGGTTATTTCCCGCCTTAAATAGAGAAATGACAGTTGCACGTAATTGTCTCGTTCCCTCCATCACGATAAAATATAAACAAATGCATTTGCGATACAAAAAACTAAAAGTTAACATTCCAAATTCAAAATCGGTAAAAAAATAGCAGCCAGAAACATTTTATTTTATTTTTTCAGTAAAAAGTTTGTCTCAAAACTTATGAACACGAGGTAAATACGTCAAGAACATGAATATGTACGCCATGATAGTAAGTACTCGTATAATGATGAAGCAAGAAGTGATTGCAGGTCAGTTACGACAGGTTTGTTTTGAAAATTTAGCCTTTCATCGTTTAATAAATTATGGGATAAATAATTCAAAATAATACTATCCAAAATCAAAATTAATTAAAACATACTTAATGAAAAATATTAAAAAATCTACTTTGTCCCTGGTATCCCATATCAGAGTGCCAGGGACAAAGTTAAGAATTAAGTAT